AATTATAAATAAAGAAAAAAACAACTCAAACATTTCGGCACATGTTTCAACTATAAAACAAAAAACAATTATTCTTTAAAACAAAAAAAAAAAAAAAATAACGATTAGAAAATCCTTGTAGGCTACATACTATCCTTATATCCCTAAATATACCTAAAAACGAAAGAAAAGTAAAGACAAAGAATGGTAACAAATTCATAACGAAAATAAAGCTCAAGAATACACCCCCTTCCTTTCCTTTCTGTAACTGGAAATTTTGCTATAAAAGAAAAATCAAGATGCCTATATGATAATTATTTTTTTTAATGAAAGAGCGTTGTTAGAACAACTGATATCTTGATCTTATTCTTACAAGCAGCCCGTGTTCCTTTACAGAGTATAGGCACTGGTATAACCAGAAGTCTAAAAAAATACATGTAATGATAATATTTCAGTGACAACCTAAACACCAAACTAACAATCTTGTTAATGTTGTCCATGCTGCCTTAATTTTAACAGTGAAATTTAACATTAGAATAAAAGTGTTACTATCAACATTATTATAATAGTCCAGCTAAAAATGTATTTCTAAAAATAGAATAATAAAAGTTCGTCTAAACAGTGTTACTATCAATGGAATCATAACAGTCCATATAAAAAAAGTATTACGAACAATAGTATAATAACAGTGAGCCTAAGCTTCTGGACTATGTCATCCATAACGTTATCATTGTCTAACGCTAAATCTAAGGGAGTGTTCATTGCTTTGTCTTGAATATTTTACACAGCAATAGCCCCATCAACATCTCCCATTGTCATCAACGTGTTGACATCAGCCCCTGCTTCAATCAAGCGTAGCACAGCTTCCATGCTTCCAAGTCTGACTGCTCTGGCCAGCAGCGGTTCAGCCAATCGACTTCTGGTCCCGGCCAAAGATCCTCGCTCTTCTTCAACAAGAGCGCGATTCATTTGGCATGACGGCAACCGTAATACTTCTAACCACAAAGCATCGCACAGCGTGGGGCTCGCTCTAAGAAGCACTTCCATGATATCCAACCGGTTCGAATCTAACGCTCGTCGGACAACCCGTTCGCTGACGTCAGACCCAGCTTCTATGATGATGAAAACGGCATTAGGGTGGCCGTCCTCTACGGCCATCATTAAGGCCGACTGTCCATTTTCGTTTAGCTCGTTGCCGCCAATGGCGCCCTCAGTCAGGACAATGCTGAGGAATTCTGGATCGCCGTAGTCAAGACACGCGGTCTCGAAGACTTGCCTCACGCGAACGTCTTGACTGGGTTCAGATTTCAGGAGATCCGAGATTGGTGGAGTAGTTGGTGGTGGTCTGAAGTAAACAGATTTTTTTTTAAAATTCAAATAAAATATGTCTCTCGTTTTTAATTTTTTTTATCACTAAGATGTTTGGTAATACCCTCATATATATAATACTCCACCTCTTTAAAATCAGACTATTAAATATTTAGATTATTTAATTTTTTATTGGAATTTAATTGAACATTTTGTTCTATATTAATAATTATTGAATAACAGGCAAAAAAATCTTTAAATGACCCCTTTTTGGAAAATTCAATCTAAAAATTTATGAAAAAATTTCTCAGTCAATGGTAACCTAACGTGCCCCCCCCCCCCCCAAACATCTTCCCCTCCTTCACAAACCGAAGTAAAAGTAAAAAGACTTTCGACTTACAAAGCGCCATTGGCGAGGAGAATCTCTTGAGCGCACCTGTCATGCGCTTCATTAGCCAACATCAGGGCGCTTCTGCCCTGAGAATCTGTAGCATTAATGCTAATCCCAGGCTTACAGAGCATTTCTTGGATTGTATCAGATCGCTTGTATTTAGCATAATAGTGGAACTGGAAGACGCATAGGTCGAGAGTTGGATCCAAACTTACATTATCTGCAATAGCAGGCACCAAACGTGCATTATCTGCAATAACAGGATCTAAATTTACGTCCTCTGGAATAGCGTTCTCAGCACGTGCTTCCTCCTGCTCATCGTCATCTATCTTTATGTTGGCGTCATTCTCCCCATTGCCTTCCATCTCTCCTTCTATCACTCCTTACCTCTTTCCTTCCATCTCGCTTTCCATCTCTCCTTTCTTCTTTCCTTCCATCTCTCCTTCCTTCTTTCCTTCCATCTCGCCTTCCATCATTTTTTTCAAGGCATTAAACATATATCCACCATTAAACTCCTAAGTGGCAAACTGTAGTCTAAATGATTTAGAACCACTGTATAACACTTTCACTTTTAAATGATTTAGAACCACTGTATAACAATTTCACTTTTAAAGTTCGGGTTTTCCCAAAAACATTTTAAGTCCTATGCTTTCATGGTACTTTCCCTATTGAAAACATCATGACGAAACGGAAACAGAAAAACAAATTCCAGGAATTGGACAAGTGAGAGACATTTTTAAAAAAAATGGGTATATTAAACTATGTCTCTCGCAAGGATTAGGAGCTGCGCACTTCGTGCAAATTAGACTATGATCATTTGCATCTTTCTTCAGTCGTTTAATTCAGGTTATTAAGTTATAAAGAAAGTCTAAATTAGCCGAAAATAGTAGAATTGTAGTGTCAATAAAAAAAATAAAAAATCAGTGTCATCACTGTGACTGTGACTGTGAATGTGATTCAGTCTCTGCTAAGAGAAAATGCTTGATGATCTATGTCAATGACGTATTTAAATAATAAGTATATAGTTAAATATTAAATTATAGCCTAGTCCTAGTTATTTTCATTTTTTAATTCTATTAAATATTTTTTTTATTTTTTTTTACTGAAAACTTATTGTTAACTTTTCAAGATTGGCAGTAGTTGACGTGGTAAGCCTAGGCCTAGATTGTAATATTTAGTAGTCAACGTCTAGTGCCAGTAGTCTGCCAGTAAATATTTACTAATAAATTTACTAATAATGAATAATGTTTTATTAATTAAACAAATGTAAATTATTGAAGTGCATAACTCAAAAATTCTATACAATTTGAGTTTGATACTCATACTGTCATACTGAACTGTGTTCAATACTGCAGGTCTAGTGAGCCTATTACTATATAATCTATAAGCTACTTTACTATGTAACTATGACTTCACTATGTATAATGTTAGTGAATAGCTAGTTAAATTTGCTTACTTATGTAATTCATAATAATTAGGAACACATATGCTAGCACAATTAAGTTAAATTTTATAGTATGTCTTTATCTTGATGAATAAATGACATATTTTTCAGTATTCATTTGAAACTTGACAACCATAATGGAAGATGAAGATGATCCAGTTTTAGCTGCTGCTAAGCAACATCCTGGGTATGGTTTTGATACTAGCTAATCAACTAGGTTGTTAGAAAGTTTAATTGCTTTTAAAACAAAATTGATACCACAAAAACCTTGAATAATTTCGTTAAATGGGAAGTTTCGAGCATCTGAAAAATATCTTAGTTTTTTATGTTATGCACCATAAAAAGGTGATTTGAAGAGATTTTAAAGAAAGGATAAGGTGGTAGAAGTCTAGCATCTAAGGTTATAGATATTTGTGAAAAAAAAAATATTTTAAATATTATTTAGGCCTCACCAGAAGCCGGTGGAATTACAAATTATTTACTATTTAAAAATAGAAGAGGATCCTACATTTATTTTTATCTATTCAGCCAGTAGAAAAACATAAATTTAGAAATGTTTTATATAATAAAGATCTTAATTGTGTTGACTACATTCAATCTTTTCTCTAATTAACTTGTCTTTAACTACTTAGGCGCAAGCCAGTCCGCAGTCTTACTGAACAAGAGTTGAAGCAAATGCTAACAGAAAAAGATTCATCTCTAGTTTTGCTGCGGCTTGGCAGAGCTGATGGTTCTTTGGACAAATTGTTTAATGAAATTGGTACAGTGAGAGGATTTTCTAAACTGGAACTAACCATCAAAGTTCTTGGAAAAGCGCTGGGAAACCAACAGGCTGGACAAATCCAGGCTATAATTGATGTGATAACATTGTTCATTAATTTCCCTGCATTTCATGAGAAGATTTTTGCTAGCTTGCAAGGATTAAGAATTGATGAAGAATACATCAGATCCATCATCATTATTTTGATGGTAGCTGCAGAGAAGCAGCCAAATGTAGCGGCCAAGAGCTTTTCTGAGATGTTTATGCACCTTGAAGATATTGTCAATGAGAAATTCCCAGAGCTTATCAGAGCAAAAGACATTCTGAAAAAAAATTTGCTGCAGGCAAAGAGGATGGCATTGCAAGAGGAGGAAAGAGATGAGAGAAATGAAAGATATGTCCCAGATGAGGAGATTGATCCTAATCTTTTTCGGCAACTGAGCATCTTTCCAACAGCTGAAGATCTTGACCCAACCAGAGAAATATCTGTCCGTGCAAATAGGACTAAAGGTCGCTACAATAACACAAATGAATATCTAGACATTCAGGTGAGAAAACTTTGTAGAAAATTTCAAAATTGATTTTTTCTTACTTTGAGAGCAAATAATAACTGTTGTTGAAACTATAGCATGAGGTTTCATTGGTTCATCTGGACGAGTTATGCCAATGTTTATGTAGTGAAATAGGCCTGTTAAATGCACACACACATACAAACAATTAGGTCTTTTAAATGCACACACACATACAAACAATTAATAAAATTTTATTGTTTATGAAAATCAAGAAAATTATTCATACATACATTTTTTTGAAAGGAAAATACATATTTTTAAAAATGAAGATATTTTCATTTAATTTAATTTACAGTTTCGACTTCTGAGAGCAGATTTGATTATTCCACTCCGAGAAAACATCAACAGATATTTGGATGGAGAAGAAAAACATGAACTGAGTGGAATTAATGTCTACTCTCATGTAAGTCTCATAAATTGTCAATTAAAGGAATAACTGGAGAAAAAAGTCTCATTTTTTTTGTGTTATATCTTATTTTAAATAAATGAAGTAAATTTTTCTTTTACCAAATTCCTGAAATAATGTTTAAGATTTTTAAAAAAAATTTACTAAACCAATAGTTTAAATCAAAAAATAAAGTGGATGACCCTTTTTTATTTAGTTTTTAAAAAAAAATTATGTAAGCTCATTGCAGTGGCACATGAGGGGGTGCAGAGGGGTTGGTCCACCTCGGTTGGAACTTTTTTATTTATATTGAGGGGCTACATTTTCAGCCTATTGCAGAGTTTTTTGCGTGGAAGGGTGCAGCAAAAAAGCTTAGCCTGCCTGGGCGGCACCAACCCTTGCTGCCAAATTGTTAAATAAACAAGTCTTGTTGTATGCATTAATTTCTTAGCTTTATAAAATTAACCATAAAAACTCACACTCAAAGTAGCTTTGAATTTAAAATTTTGTTATTTGTTTATTTTATGAAAAATTCTGCCATGTCTTAGATAAAATAAAGTTTCACAAAAATAAAAAGAAATTGAAATATTAATTTTGTTAAAATATTCTTAATGAATAAATAATTAAATGTAGCTATTTGATTATATTGGAATATACTTAATTGCAGGTCAGGATTGTCCGTCCCATATGCCATGATAAAGGTCTATGTTTCCGCTTGTCCTTTGATGTCTACAGACACAGAAGAGTCAACTGGAAAATATCCCAGAGATTGAAATATGGATCTTTGCTCTGTTTGTCAGCTGATAACTTTCAGTCCTATCAATGTGCTGTGGTTGAGAATCGAGAGCCAAAGGACCTGGAAAGGGGTCTTGTGGATGTCCAGTTTATCATGGATAGGGACAGAAATGAAGGTTTCATGAGGATAATTGAGGAATCGAGAGACAAAAGATTCATTATGGTTGAGTCTCCATCATACTTTGAGGCGTATAAATATGTGCTGGCGGGACTTCAGAACTTCACTGAAAACAATTTCCCATTCTGGAAGTACATTGGGGAGTGTAACAAAAATGTCGACTCGCCAAGGTATATTCGGGATTTGCAACAGCCGACGTTAGATTTACGCCCCCTTGTGGACAAGCACTTCAAGATAGTAGAACATTCCACCGAAGCTCCAGAGTTCATCGAACAGGCAAGAACCGCTGCAGCTGTGAATATATTGGATTTAGAGTCGTGGCCAAACCACAACACATTAGGCCTTGACACATCACAATTTGTTGCCTTGCAGTCTGCACTGACCAAAGAGTTCTCAATCATCCAAGGTCCACCAGGAACAGGGAAAACCTTCATCGGCCTCATGGTGATGAAAGCCTTGCTTCACAACAAGAAATTGTGGGTGGGAAATGATGAATCAAAACCAATCCTGCTGGTGTGTTACACTAATCACGCCTTGGATCAGTTCTTGGAAGAGATCTTAAGTTTTTTTCAAGGAAATCTTGTCCGTGTCGGCTCTAGGAGTAAAAGTGAGATACTGGAGGATTATAACTTGAGAGGAATGAGGAACAGGGCCAGGGAAAACCGAACAGTTCCAATGGAAGTTCACCTAGCAAAATCGGAGCAAAGACTCCAGATGAAAATGAAGAAAGCAGAAATTCATGAAGAGGCAGCAAAACTTGAAATACTTGAGAGAGAAATTGTCAAAGAAAAGTTCCTCAAAGAATTCATTCACCCAGTTCAATATGAAAATCTCACTTCGAAATCAGGCAATCAAAGCGTCATAGCCAAATGGCTAGGAATAACTCTTGACACAAATAAAATAAAGAAGCAGGCAGAGGAACAAATGAAATCCCAGAGAAATCCACAAGCTGCAAACGAACAAGAAGGAAATGCTGCTGGTATTGCAATGGCGGTGGATGAAGAAGAAGATGATGATGATGAGGATAATGACCTTGACCTGGTTGTTGAAATGAATGTCCAGACGCCAAACAATCGACACTTGGATGTGGATGATGATGAGGATGATGATGAGCATGACGACACCCAAGAGGATCTGTTTGCAGAGCTGCTAGAAAACTTGGGGGATGACTTCATGGAGTTGGTTAGAAATGTCAACAGAAAACTTGATCAAGTGGACATCGACGCAGCCAGGATAAAGAAGGAGAACATTGCCTTCAATATAAGTGAGTATGGTGAAGAAGAAATGCCGTCTGGTTTGAGTAAAGAGGAAAAGGAACATTGGAAAAGTCTTAGGCCTTTAAAAAAGAAATACCGGGGCTTGCTGTTGAACCACCTTCAGAAAACAGACAGAATGGCGGAAGAGGAAGTTGAGCAGATTTACAGCCCTTGGAAAATTAGTCGGAACAATAGGTGGAGACTGTATCGGTACTGGGTGGACTCATACAGCAGGCAAATTAGAGGGGCGATAAGAGATTCCTCAAATGAGTACGAGCAGCTTGCCAGGAGATACCAGGAAATCCTGCACCAGGAAGATAAAGTGATATTGGAAAAAGCCACCATCATTGGGATGACCACCACTGCGGCAGCTAGATATCAAGGCATTTTACGGGAAATCGGGCCAAAAATTGTCTTGGTAGAGGAAGCTGCTGAAGTGTTGGAGGGTCATGTGATTACCTCCCTTACTGACCAGTGTCAACACGTTGTTCTCATTGGTGATCACAAACAGCTGCGGCCAAATCCTGCTGTTTACAAGTTGAAGGAGAAATACAATTTGGACATTTCGCTTTTTGAAAGACTTGTGATGAATGACTTTGAGTACAAGCGCTTGAAATATCAACATCGCATGCGTCCTGAAATCTCCAGACTTCTTAAAATTCCTGACCTTTACCCAGATCTAGAAGACCATGACATAGTTCATGGCTACCCTCACATTAATAAAATCAAAGGAGACGTGCTTTTTATTCAACATTCTGAGAACGATGAAAGAGAAGAGGACACAAAAACTTTCAGCAACCAGTACGAAGCCAGGTTCCTGATTGGTTTGTGTGAGTATTTACTACAGCAGGGCTACACAGCTAAACAAATCACCATCCTTTCACCCTACGCCGGACAGATTCACCTAATCAAAACTCTGCTGGAGACATTGCCCAGGTCTCAAAATACAGTGAAGAAAATAAAAGGTATGAGGATCTCTTCTGTGGATAATTACCAAGGGGAGGAAAACGACATAATTTTGTTGTCACTGGTCAGAAGTAATGAAGCAAATGAAATTGGATTTCTCAAAGCAAACAACAGAATATGTGTAGCTTTGTCTCGTGCTAAAATGGGACTGTATGTCATTGGGAACTTTGCTGGACTTTGTCAATCCAGCCCTTTAATAAAAAATATTACAGTGGAAGCAAAACGGCTTGGGTATTTGAAAAATAATCTGGTGCTGGCTTGTGGGAAACACAAGGGAGGAGAAACCATTATTGAAACACCAGAAGACTTTAAGAAAGTTCCTGAAGGTGGTTGCCTGCAACCTTGTGAAACCAGACTGGACTGCGGGCACAGCTGCAAGAGAATTTGCCATGCAGATGACCCAGATCACAAGTTTGCGAAGTGTTATGAGAGATGCCAGTTCAAATGTGATAAATGTGATCACAACTGCAATGGTGACCACCCATGCGGAGAGCATGACTACTGTAGGCATCTGGTAGAGAAACGTATTCCTATGTGTGGGCATAGGCAGAAAGTGCCCTGCCACTTGGCACCGAACGAGTTTGAGTGCAAAGATAAGTGCCAGGAGCTTTTACTATGTGGTCATAAGTGCCCGGGGCAGTGTGGGAAAAAACACTCTCATACTGATGTGAAGTGCATGGTGTTAGTAGAAGTAAGAAAATTTTTACATAATTTTTCTTAGACTTAAGACTTTTGAACAACATAAATTTTGTCACTGTAAATCTATATTCTCTGTTTAAAATCACATAAAAATATCTCCGAAAATTCTTCATAATTAATTTTAATTGACATACACACACACAAATCTACTTATAAATTGTCCACCTTTTTCATTTCCTTTCCTTTACTGGTCTCTCAAAGTGAATAAAAGTATCAAGTGAAGAAGAGACAATTGAACCTGTGGAGGTCGCGTAAATAGGACTGGAGTTTTGCAGATTCAAGATTAAATGAACATGAAATTGAAAATTGTTTAAATCACTCTTTTTAAGGACCAGAATATAAGGTCTGCATCTAATTGTTTTCTTTCTTATTGAGAAAGAAGAAAACAAAGAAGACCAAAAATTAAATACAAAGCGAGAAAGAACTTAAGAATTCATTACATTTGAACTCCTTTTTTAAATAAATATGCATTTCGTTCGAGTTGTTTCATGTACATTCATCAATGTGTTTGAACCAAACCAGATTCTTTGTCTATTAACTTGAAGTTAACATGATAATTTATGGCAAATTTAAGATATATTTCTGTGAATCTGCAGGTAACACCTGAAAATTGTGGCCATAACAGATTTAACACTGAATGTTGGCGGTCTAAGGTAGGCAGGGATTTTGAATGCACCCAGCCATGTCGCGCTGTTTTGGAATGTGGACATTTGTGCTCTGGGTCATGTGGAAAATGTCAAAATGCCCGTCTTCACATGAACTGCCAGGAAAAATGTAAGAAAATTCTTATCTGTGGACACCCGTGTAAGGACACATGTGGAAGTTGCCCTCCATGCACGTAAGTAGAACTGGCGCTCTAACTATATTCTAATTGCGCATTAAATATTTTGGATAAACAAGCAAAATAGAAACAGTGAATAATTCTACTAATTTTAAATGAAATGTTTCCAAAAAATAGATGTATTAATCTTCCTAAATATTGGATATGGTTAATCCATCTTATCTGCTAATTCATCTTATCCTAACAGCTACAAAGATGATTGATCTAAAATTTAATTAGATAATATTTTTGTTTAATGTTAAAAGTGCATATACATTTTAGTAATACAGGACAGAGACTGCAGGTTAGGTAAAAGCCCACTGCATTACAAAAATATGTTATTCTGTCTAATATTAATATATATGAATAAAAAAAATGAGCGATACAAAGTAAGGGAAAACCTAAAAATAGCTGCAATTAGTATCCGAGAGGGCAGCAAGAGGAATGTGCCTCTCAGATGCAACAATGCAGCTAAGTGTTTATTTTAATTTTATATCGTTTTTACTGATGTTTGTCTATTGAGGAAGGCTTCTTATTGAGATGTTCAGTGTTGTTTTTTTTTTGTTATTTTTTTCTACAGGTTTTCCCATACTTTATTTCGCTCATTTTTTTATTCATATATATTAGACAGAATAACATATTTTTGCAATGCAGTGGGCATTTCAAAGATTTAATATTTTCTAATATATACTCCACTTTTATCATCCACATATTTCACATAAAGACATCTTTGAACTATAAGAGTAGATCATGATGCAAATCATTAGTGCTGCTTTACTTCAACAAATATTATTAATATAGAGATAATGATTCTTTCAGGCAAAATTGTGAAACAGCATGCGTCCACTCTTCTTTCAGGCAAAATTGTGAAACAGCATGCGTCCACTCCCATTGCCCAAGAAGGTGTGGAGAGCCATGCACAGCTTGTGTTGAGTCCTGTAACTGGACATGCAGGCATGAAACGTGCATCGATCTTTGCTGCCAGCCTTGTGAGAGAGAGACGTGTGATGTGCCATGTCCCTTGAAAAAACAATGTGGGCACAATTGTGCTGGGCTTTGTGGAGAAAAGTGCCCAAGGCTGTGTACCATCTGTGACAAGGAAGTATGTGATGTTATTTTATGTTTTTTATTGGTCAGAACTTCAATAACCAATGCATTTTATATTAAAAATACATTAATGTTGTCTTGATTTAAAAATCATATACAGGGTGGGCCAATAAAAGTGAGAACATCTCGTAAAATGTGATTTAATCACATAAAATTTAGTTTAACTATACCCATACTAGCATAAATAGTTTATTGGTTTACTTACTTACATATTTAGCTATATGGCGTCATTATTTCGACTATTTCCGGTCACCATTTTTTATTTTTAATCTGCCAATTGTTTACGTCGTCTGCTTGTTTAAATTTTTTGCCCAGAATGACAAAAATAACTGCACAGGACCGTATTCTGATTAAACATTTGCGAATTGAAAAACAGTGGGGTGCTAGGAAAATGACAGAGTTTCCAAACAAAGCCTAAGAGCATAGCAAGTGTCAGTCGGGTTATCAATAAAATTGACAACGACGGTTGAACGGAATGTAAAACAGGAAGTTGTCGACCAAAGACTGTTAGAACACAACAGAACATTGAACGAGTGAGTGAGCTTATCTGCAGTCAAGATGATGATCCTCACAGTCACAAAAGTCCACGGGACATATAAAGAGAACTGGTATACCACGGTCTTCAGTTCGATGTATTGTAAAGCAAGATTTACAACTTAAAACGTACAAGCGTATGATGGGGCAGATGTTCAATGAAAATGGCAAGTGGAAAAGCTTGCAATGCAGTCAGCAGCTACTTGAATGATTTAATAATGAGAGAAGTGTACGAAGCATCTGGTTTACAGACGAAAAGACATTCACCATTGCCATTCCAGTTAATTCTCAAAATGATAATGTTTATTCCGTTGCAACAAAGAAAAAACAGGTTCAAGAAAGATGACTTAAACGAGAGCATAACCATTTCAGCTGCGGTGTCATCGTATCAGTTGGTGTGTCTCAAATGGGGAAAACTAGTGTTGTGTTCGTTGAACCAGGCGCCAAAGTAAACAGTGAATATTTTTGTGAACAAGTTCTCAGAAGAGGATTGTTGCCTGACATTCAAGCGAAATGTGGTCGCCATAACTGGATATTGCAGCAGGACGGAGCTCCATCTCACACAGCCAGAACTACAACCAACTTTCTTCGTCGGGAGAATGTTAACTTCATCGAGCCAGACATGTGGCCACCGAACAGCCCATATTTAAATCCAGTAGATTATGCCATATGGGGTGCTTTGCAAGAAAAAGTCTACCTTCTGCGAAAATTTACCACAGTTGAGCAGCTCAAGTTGGAAATAATCAAGGAATGGCGAAATCTAGGGCAACGTTTCATTGACAGAAGCATAAATGAGTGGCGTTGATGCTTGAAAAAAGTCGTTGAGAAGCAAGGAGGACACATTGAACATGATTTCTGATTAGCTAAATATTTTGCAAAAAAAAATTCCATGAAGAATTTTAATTAATTAAATTATACTTTGAAATAACTCGTATGCTACGAGATGTTCTCACTTTTATTGGCCCACCCTGTATATTTAAAAAGAAATATCAATAGATTATCTATAAATTTGATGTTTAAATTCTAGGAACTGATTTAAGAATTATATCCAGGAACTTATGCATGTAGCCTATCATTTTCAGGAATTAATCTGTGACAGCCTCTATGGTTATGATGGTGATCCAACAACACTCTTTGTTGAGCTGGACTGTGGTCATGTCCAAGAAGTTGAGTTTGTAGATAAGTGGATGACCACTTCCACTAGTGAAGACTCAGACCAAAAGGCTATTGGTCTCAAGGGATGTCCAGTTTGCAAGACTGCTGTGCGAAAATGTCAACGCTACAATAAGCAAATTAAGGTATTTTTGCTTATTTAAAACATTTTTTTAAACTACTACTAATGACATATTTGAAGTTTGATGAAAATAAAAATAAATTTACATTGACAACTTTGGCTGCGATTATTATTTATTAAATTTTATTCAGAGCGTAAAAAAGTTGTAATCACAGTTATTTTGCTTTACCATCTACCATCTCAGTTTGAAATTTGATTCTATTTTTATTTTTTTACATTTCAAGCCCATTTGAAATTGTTACTTAAATAATCTTTAACTTAGCACATTTGAAAATTATATTATATTATATTATAACAAAAACTAATTTTCAAGTGGGTCTAATGACTTCTCCCCATACAGGAACAGCTGTGCCTCATAGAAAGTGTCAAGCGTAAATATATTGGAGAGAATAAGAAGCTCAGGAAACAACAGTTAGATGAAGTTGTTGCCCAAACTGGTGGACAAGAAAGAATTATGATTGAAACGTTTCTTGAACAAGGTGAAATTAAATTGTTACTGAGCTAATACAAATTTTAAAAAATATTTTAAAAAATTCTGTCTGACATGATTACTATAATGCCATCAGAAATATATACTTAACAAAGGTTAAGTACTAAACAATGGAGATTTGAACATTTGCATTTTGTTATGTGTGAAAATTAAAAACATCCTGGATTCCATGTCAATTTTATTAAAAATCCTAGGTGTTTAGTTTTGGGAATGAACATGTAAATATCATTAAAAATTTTAGTGGCCCTTGTTAAAATCATGATTTGTTGATGTAGCAGTAGCATTGATAACCAGAATTATTTAAATCAGTTATACCGCTGTTTTTCATTATGTTATGTACTGTCATATGGTTTTATAAATTTAATCTGTTTTAAGATTTGGCTCATTAAATGAACTATACAACACAAAGAAAAACAGTACCAAAGCTAGTTATATTAACTATAATAAATTTAATTATTCTATTAAGTTGATATAAGAATACGTATTAATAGTGAGGGAGTCAGAACCCTCCAGAACAGAAAGTCTAGAAATTCATTTGCTTGAGAGAATTTCTCCCTCTATGTACAGTAGTATAATGTAGACCCTTCTGGAAATGTAAACAAACTTTCCCTGTCAAAGGTGATGGGGGGAAGGAGGCAGAGTTAATTGGTGATGTCAAAAATAAATGGGAATCTAAAGTTGCATGTCACAGCTCATGGTGAACAAAATATAGTTAAACACATGAGTAATAACAATGCTGATATAATAAAAAATTAAACTAGATTATACATGAACTTCATTAAACCATACAGAACACCAACATATCTTTTTGCAAACATCCAGATGTTACGGTACCACATCACCTCTTTCACTGCCCAAAATCATGTTGTAGACCTCAGTTATCTAACAGATTTACAAGACATAGCTTCACCCTATGAGCATACAAAGACCAACTAAAGAAGACCTGCACATTTTTCACCATTGTCTAAGACAGATGACAAATAGCTGCTTGAGTAGGATCATGATTGTTTCTAACAAATGTTTCTCTTTAAGCTTTGCTTGTGTATTTTCTTCCCAGAAAACCAAGAGTGTTTTAAACTATTCTAAAATATTCCCTTCACTAAATCTCTGCTTTTATAAATTGTTCCCAGGAAACCACGTGTTGTCTGAAATAATTCTTGAAACCCAGATCAACCAGGTGAATCTCTTCAGGCGAATTTATGCTTTACGTCGTGTGGTAGAGGAATGCAAGAACAGGTGGCAGCAGCGAGTTCCCACATTTAATGCAATCCTTGAAGATCTTGATCGATTCTCAGAGTGGACTAGACAGAAAAGAACAATTTTCTCTGGCCAGAATAAAAGTGATGCAGAGGAAGAACTGGCCAGGCTCAGTATTCAAATCGACCTTCTTAAAGTTGAGGGCAACATCAGTGCCAGGGACATCCGCGACACTCTACCTAATCGATACCTCATCAATCTTGGAAAGTTTATTACGTAAGGATTGGTTAATTCTCAAAGATGGCAGCTATTTCTTGCTGCTGAACTTTCTGATTTCTCGGCTATATTACTTTTTTGAAAATGTTAACAACACTATTAACCAATGAACCAACTTTGAAATTAATTAGATTAAAATTGAGACTCAGTTTGTGTAAATAAAACAATTTATGTTAAGTTTTAATTATGATTACACAATATAGAATTTTAAACATTGCAGCAAATTCCTTCATTAGTACAAAAAAATACATGAATATAATTATAACATAAATTTACATATATATATATATATATATATATATATATATATATATATATATATATATACACCTATACTTAAAATGAAAGAAAATAAAAGAATAAGAAGGGGCACAAGTCTGTTGCGAATACAAAGATCAGAAGAATCGACTTGTGCCCATTCTTATTCTTTTCTTTTTCTTTCATTTTATGTACAGATGGATAAATATATTATGTAAATTTAATTTATATTTATATATATATATATTTATGTTTTTCTGTTGTGCTTTTGCAGAGACATATGAATTTGAATGTTGTGTAACTGTAACTAAAGCTTAAAATATATTATTTTATTTACACAAATTGTTTGTTTCTGTCTCATTACTCTACTTAAAAGCTTCAAGGCAGCCCAACTCTCTTATAATTTAAAAATAATTCTCCACTCAGTTTTGTGGGACCTTTGCTAACCAATTAAGCCAATAACTTTCACTTTTCTTTTGAACTTTACTTCTTCTTCTTCTTCTTCTTATATTTGAGGTGCCCACGATCAATTTGTTGATCATTCTGGCTCCTGGTTTTAAATTCAGAGTTTACTTTACATGCCCACAGTAACTTGTCAGCATCTGGAAAGATCAGTAAACAGTTGATGGATGAGTGCCGAGAACTTTGTGAAGAACTGAACAAACTCGTCCCTGAGAGCCACATTGCGCTGACCAATCAGGAGAGAATGGAGATAGTGAAAGCCGTCAATGTCAGCCAGGGAGCTTGGTACAAGTGTCCAAATGGTGAGCTAATCTGAACTAGTTGTGGAGACACTTGTAGAAAATACATTTTTTTTTGTCTCTTAACAGTAACAGATTTTTGTAAAACGTATTTAATTTGTTTTCACACTAACTACACTTTTTAAAATTTTATTATGTGAGTATTATAATAGCCTGCTCTGTTTTATAAGTCAGTCTTTCAATTTTTATATTACAAACAATACAAAGGATTTATATTTTTTTTAAATAGAGTTGGTATTTTTTTGTTTAAATATTAACTTGTTCATTTTCTGTTTTACCAGGTCACATTTACGCTATTGGTGAGTGTGGCCAAGCTATGGAAGAAACTCGATGCCCGGAATGTAAAGCTAGGATAGGTGGCACAAACCATCATCTTGTAGAAACCAATGCAATGGCCCCAGAAATGGATGGAGCTGAGAGACCCATTTGGAACAATATTGCTGCTGATCAAGAGCTAGCAATGCGGCTGCAACAGCAATTCAATGACAGAGTAGGTTAAACAATTAAAGATAAGATAAGATTCTTTTATTGATCCAAATAAATGGAAATGTGTTTTGATTGCATTGTTCATTTTCAGCATATAAATAAAATAATATCAACACAAGACATCTACATTAAATTATTTTACTAGTAAAAAAAAAACCCAGCCTTTCAGTGAACTCTCTTAGTCATTTCCGGGACTTATTAGTTCTCATTTAGTGTTGTGACTTCCTGGGGAGCATGCTGGTAGATTCGGACAGATTGGGGAAGAGAAGAATTTTTATATCTTTCAGTTCCTCACCCTGAGAGAAAGAATTCGTCCTGAATGGGCTGATCCTAAGTATCTATGATGAAAAGGGTGGAATGTATCATCCAAAATTTGTTTGGTTTTACAATAACATCAGACTTTCTTCAAATGATTTATTGAAGTGAACGATGTTTAGTTTGTGTTATGTTCCTAGCTTTCTTGATTAGTCTGTTTATTCGGTGTTTAATATCAGACATTTTTGGAGCATAACTTAGAAAATTACTGTATTAATTACTGCATTCCCAGCACATCTAAATTGTAAATTAATAATAATAATAATAATAAAGTTCATTTCAAAAACATGCATTAGGCCCTACTATAGAAACATTTTCATGTGTTATAATCCCATTTTAATAAAAAGATTGCTCTTAAAATTTGGATTTCTACCAGATCATCATATACTTTTCCATGTATCTGACTTCTAATCTCTATTTATGAACTTTTAGTTTCATTACTAGATTCTGATCATTTGCAAAAAAAATTTTTTTTTAAAAATCACTTTATTTATTTCCATATAGATAAAAACTTATTTTTGTCCTACACTGAGCAATTTGTAAGATTTTCTTGTAAATCTTTTTTTTTTTAAGTATACCACTTTATTATTCAAGTAAGGGTTGTGATGAATCTTTCAATGATTCTAAAAAAAAAAACAAAAAAATAAATAAATGTTGGACTAACTTAATGATCAAATAAAAAAATTTTTAAGATTTTTTTGTAAATCTTTTTTTTTTAAAGTATACCACTTTATTATTCAAGTAAGGGTTGTGATGAATCTTTCAATGATTCTAAAAAAAAAAAACCAAAAAATAAATCAATGGTGGACTAACTTAATGATCAAATAAAAATATTGTGATTATTCAAAAAGGAAACAGGAATGCACTGCTGAAAGAGTCAACAAGAAATGGAAGGTCGTCACAATTCTAAATATCCCTTCATTCAAAAAAAATTAATTTTAATTCAAACAGTTTAAGCACATTTAAGTTTAAGATAAACTTAGCATGACTTTTACTTAGTTTGTCCTTGTTTTGAGTTGTGTAAACAAAATACAATAAACAAGCTGGTCACTTGCGCAAGACGTACTGACGTGTTAAAGCGTTAATTAAAAGGAAATTGAAATTTGGCTCAGAACTGGTATAATCTTTTTTGGTTTTATTTCTAATAGTTTATACATGTCTTGAACCTATTTGTGTACTTTATCACAAACTATCCCTCAATTGTTATTTCTATCTTGGCAATTTTTTTTTTCTTTTCAGTAGAGATTACAATAAATACGATCAATTTTCACCTTTTTTTTTTTTTAGCTTCAAGATTTCTTCTTCTAAAAGGGCCACAATGACACTTCAATCAAGAGTTTCTTGTTTCAAGTGAGGAGGATAGAGTTGTACCCCACATCAAACTAAATAATAATGTTGTGTTAGGGAGGAATTTGAACGTTTAAAATATGGACAATTTTTTTTTGTATTTCAGTTTATAATTTATTTTAATTATAATTTTATCATTATTTTATTTGTAATTTTATTGCGGTAAATATAATTTCATTATAATCTCTTTTTGGATATAAGTCAGTTTATATATGTATTAAATTTAAGTTTGAAACTTATATTTTACACCTTTTTATATAACATGATATTTTGCCCCCCTCCCCCGCTTTCCCCACAAGGCCTCCACTACTATAAAATTTTAACTGAAAAGCTCAGAACCCAAGGAACTAAAAAAAAATTATACTTATTATTATTGTTTTCATCCCAACAGGCTACAACTAATTGTATTCATCACTTTCTACTTCAATATTCTTGCATCATATGCTGTGCATTAATTTGAATGAAGTTGTCAATTTTTTTAATAAATTATGTGTGTATTTAGGCTTATCCATTATGACCTTTCTCATATGGAATTAAATGATCAATACTCAAATGAATGAAAACTTCACTCATGGAAGTTGGAACATAAATTTTTATTATAATTTCAAAATTAACACAAAGCTAACACAATTCAACATTGTTTTAAAAAATATTTTAATTCCATTTTAATTTTATTCATTTATTTTAAGTACCGGGGTAATTAAATGATGCAGCTTGGAATTTTGTGAATATTTTATATTAATTTAATTTTTTTATATTGATGTACTTTTTTTGTGCTATATTTTAGTTGATTGTTCCAGGACAATTCTTTATTCTTTTTGTATTTTCTTACATTTCACGTTTTCATTAAGATGAAAACCATAGATATTTTTATCAAAATTGTATTACGGTATCTAGTTCCATTTCATATGTGTCCGCTTAGTTGTAGACTTAGGTTTGGACAAAGAGCAGTGAGATCTTCTGCATTTAAAAAAAATTAGTTCTTCTTAAATATGTATGACAATTTTTTAAGACACCTTACTTCTTAAAATTTTAAACACACATTTAGATCTAGAAGTATGAAGGAAAATATTGGCCAGAATTTCTTAATGGGGCTGGAACTCCAACAAAATAAATCAGTTGACCATAAAGTCAGTTTAACCACTGTACGCAACCAGCCAGGGCTGAATGTGATGTAAGGATGTGAGACTGAATGTGGTAGGAGGGTGTGAGGCTGAATGTGGTAGGAGGATGTGAGGCTGAATGTGGTAGGAGGATGTGAGGCTGAATGTGGTAGGAGGATGTGAGGCTGAATGTGGTAGGAGGATGTGAGGCTGAATGTGGTAGGAGGATGTGAGGCTGAATGTGGTAGGAGGATGTGAGGCTGAATGTGGTAGGAGGATGTGAGGCTGAATGTGGTAGGAGGATGTGAGGCTGAATGTGGTAGGAGGATGTGAGGCTGAATGTGGTAGGAGGATGTGAGGCTGAATGTGGTAGGAGGATGTGAGGCTGAATGTGGTAGGAGGATGTGAGGCTGAATGTGGTAGGAGGATGTGAGGCTGAATGTGGTGGGAGGATGTGAGGCTGAATGTGGCGTGAGGATGTGAGGCTGAATGTGGTAGGAGGATGTGAGGCTGAATGTGGTTGGAGGACGTGAGGCTCAATGTGGTGTAAGGATGTGAGGCTCAATGTGGTGTAAGGATGTGCCAAAGTGTACGCGTTTCTATAGCCATTTTAATGTTTAAGCTACTGTTTCAATAGTCATTTTTATTGTAGTTACTATTCTAGTGTCTCTGGTTTTTTCCTTTTACTTTTACTTTAGCAGTTTAAATAGTTTACATGTTTTTAATAATTTTAAAGCGCTGTGAGCTGTAAGGTGCTATAAAAAAATGCCTAAATAAATAAATATAAAGGATTTGAGGCTCAATGTGGTGTAAGGATGTGAGGCTGACAATTTTTTAGACACCTTACTTCTTAAAATTTTTAACACACACATTTAGATCTAGAAGATTCACTTACCAATGTTACCCATTCAACATACATGTTATTTGATATTAACAAAATTGGATGCTACAGTACTGTGAAGTACATTAGACTGAATTATAAGAAGTAACAGTTTCTAAAATAAAGGGCATTGCATTGAGTCGGCACTTAGTTTTTAAAGATGTCTCTTTGTTTCAGTTTCTACAAATTCCAAATTATTTAAATTTCTGATTTTCCTAAGGAGCTGATAATGAATTTTATGCACAGGTTGGTCTGCCAAAATATTTGAAGCTCACAAACATTGGTGGATCATCAAAATTTTCAAACCAAGCACAAACCAACATGGCTGACAGTGTGTAACACTGGATCATAGACCATAGTGTTTCTGCAAAAAATCCATAACAAAAGTAACAATAATAATAACTAAATGTATTTAGAGTGTACTAAAAATTTGTACTGGCTGGTTGCGTACATTGGTTAAACTGACTTTGCGGTTGACTGATTTATTTTGTTGGGGTTCAAGCCCCATTATGAAATTCTGGCCAATATTTTCCTTCTTACCTATGTGCCAGTTAGAACTAACTGCAATAAAAGGTAAAAGATGCAGCAAAAGGTGTGCAATATTTTAGCTGTATTAACTTAATTAGCTTTACTTTTATGTAGGCCTGTCATTCCTTATGTTTCTACACAAATTTAATAAAACTGCATTCACAAATGTTTCCTTTTTTTGACTACTCAACTATGTAGGCTAATGGATACCAATTTATGGATTTAAAAAGCTTTCCTTTCTTAATACCACCATTAATGAACAAAAAAACTAGTGGCATCACTTGGCTGGTGTCACCCAGTGCTGTAAACTCAAGGTGTCACCCTCTTGCAGTATACATCATGGACCTCCGCCTATTCTGATGCTCTGGTAAAACCCTGATCTTGTGGCAACCTGTTATGGTGGTAACCTGATCTGGCAGCACCATGCTCTTGTAACTGAGTTATATTTTTAAACCAATGTGTAAATTTTCATTTGGTATCACCCCTTTAGAAGGTGTCACCTGGTGCTGTCAACACCTCCCTGGTGGTGAAAGGAGGCGGTGAGGCATAATGTGATAGGAGGAGGTGAGGCATAATAGGATAGGAGGAGGTGAGGCATAATGTGATAGGAGGAGGTGAGGTAAAATGGGATAGGAATAGGCTAGGCATAATGGGATAGGAGGAGGTGAGGCATAATGTGATAGAGGGGGTAGGGCATAATGTGATAGGAAGAGGTTAGGCATAATGGGATAGGAGGAGGTGGGGTATAATGTGATAGAGGTGGTAGGGCATAATGTGATAGGAAGAGTTAGGCATAATGTGATAACAGGAGGTGAGGCATAATTTGTACGAGGATGTGAGGTTGAATGTGGTAGGAAGATGTAAGGTTGAATGTGGTAGGAGGATGTAAGGTTGAATGTGGTAGGAGGATGTGAGGTTGAATGTGGTAGGAGGATGTAAGGTTGAATGTGGTAGGAGGATGTGAGGTTGAATGTGGTAGGAGGATGTAAGGTTGAATGTGGTAGGAGGATGTAAGGTTGAATGTGGTAGGAGGATGTGAGGTTGAATGTGGTAGGGGATATGCGGTTGAATGGTAGGAAGATGGGAGGATGATTGTTGTAGGAGGAAGGGAGGATGAATGTGGTGGGAGGATTGGAAAATTAATGTGGTGGGAGGATAAATATGGAAGGAGGATTGGGAAGAATGTGGTAGGAGGATGAGGCTGAATGTGGTAGGAGGAGGTGAGGCTGAATGTTGTAGGAGGATGTGAGGCTGAATGTGTTAGGAGGTGAGGCTGAATGTGTTGGGAGGATGAATGGGGTGGGAGGATGGGAGGCTGAATGTGGTAAGAGGGTGTGAGGCTGAATGTGTTAGGAGGTGAGGCTGAATGTGTTCGGAGGATGAATGGGGTGGGAGGATGGGAGGCTGAATGTGGTAAGAGGGTGTGAGGCTGAATGTAGTAGGAGGATGTGAGGCTGAATGTGGTATAAGGATGAGAGGCTGAATGTGGTAGGAGGGTGAGAGGCTGAATGTGGTAGGAGGATGAGAGGATGAATGAGGTATAAGGATTTGAGGCTGAATGTTGTAGTGGGATGTTAAGCTAAATGATAGGAGGTGAGGCTGAATGTAATAGAAGAAGCCAATGTGATAGGGGGATGTGATGAACGTTTCATTAAGAGATACAACATGAAGAGGTAAGACAGAAGAAAATAGAAGATAACAGGAAGTGATGATAACGTAGAAGATTAGATAAATGGTGCTGGGAAGAAGAGAGGCATCGGGTAAAGGAAGGGGCGGAGAGAAAACTTTCTAAAGGAGGAATTGGTGTTGCAGGATGTGAGATAATATGGGAAAGAGGTGTGTTAGGAGGTGATGAGACAGCTAGACATGATTGAGAGCATTAATGTGTAAATAAAACGGGAGGGTGTTGTGTAATTTTGCTAGATTAGAGGGTGGAATTTGTATGTGTCAAAGATCGATTAATGTTATCTGTAATTCTATAAATATGTCCACTTCATATGTGAACAAACAGTGAGAGAAAATCCACATCTATTGAAACTGAAAGAATGGGGATCTCCGTTAAGTAATTTTTTTTTAGTGAAGTAAGCATCTAGTTTGGTTATAAAAATTAATATTTTGTTTAACCTGGTGTTTTATTATGCAGGATGTATAATTCATTATTTAACTTTTTTTTTAAATTTGTGAAAAACAGTATCGGAAATTCCTCAAATTAATCTGTATTTGAAACAGAAGTGTGTTTGAATCTCACAGGTAACATCAAAAATGTATAATAAGAAAAAAATTATGAAACATAATTTTTTATTCTTTATAGTTCTCCATTATGTCTCTTATTTACCTAGGAATGTGCTGCTCACAACTTAAACTACTACTACTACTAAAATATTGCAGTAGAATATGTCCATCAAATGAGTAAACTGTAGTATTCTACATTCGTCATAAGTAGGAGTCAAAGCCTTTTCACTACTTTAGACTGTCACAAGTGGGAGTCAAAGCCTTGTCACTACTGTAGACTTGTCACAAGTGGGAGTCAAAGCCTTGTCACTACTGTAGACTTGTCACAGGTGAGATTCAAAGCCGTGTCACTATTGTAAACCAAGAAAAATAAATAAGTTTATGTAATTTATTATCCCACGATTAAAAATGAATGAACAAGCAATTAAAAGAAAAAATAAACCAATGGAAGGACATTATAACAATATAACTTATGATACCTGAATCTTTATTTTTGGGGGCTAGACACCTATAGACACATATAATCAGAATGTCATTTCAGAGAAATTGGTAAATTTATTTATGTGTTCTTTTAAAAGTATATTACTCTATCTTGTTAGTAGAAATTATTTCGTTCCCACGATAGGTGCCTGTCTAGGTCTAGGAGCTTGTCTAAGATAACGACCGCCCTTTCCTGGAAGTGCGAAATAAAGGAGAATAGCATATCATTGTGAGAACAGCATGACGCCTACCTTTCAGTTTAAATTTAACATCATGTGATAAGTATTGTAGAGACCGACCGAATTTCGGCTTCGGTTTCGGCGCCGAATGTGGCCATCTTTTTCCTTTCGGCCAAGTTTCGGCTTCGGCCGAAACAGAACGTTAACTTTCGGCTTCATTTCTGTTTCGGCCGAAACAGAAAGTTAACTTTCGGCTTCATTTCTGTTTCGGTCGAAAGAGAAAAGTTAACTTTCGGGTTTTTATTCGGTTTCGGAC